TAGGCATAAATAGTGTAATAAATAATACAAAAGGCAGAAAGTCGCTAAAACCTCTTTATATAATATAATGTTCAACAGACTATAGGAGCAGGCGTGTCTTTGCGTATGTATACTATCTACTTACATAAATTACATTATATTGCAATCGTGTATTTAAAAGGGAGAGGACAGCTAGGCTCAGAAACAGTTTGATATAAAAAATAGCAGCGGCTCCACCTAGATTTTGAAGCAAAATAAAAAATAAGCTTAGATAAAAATTGTAAGTACCCCCAAAAAATAAATGTGATCTACAAGTGATTTTTTTTCTTAACAAATTTATTTCTCCCCCCCCCCATGAATTAGGGCAGCCTACGGCCCTGGCTAAAGTACATGAGCAATGGCGCGCGGGTCGCTCGTTGCCTTATCCACCAAAGACAATGCTTTTCGGCAGATCTTACGCACTCAAAAAACAGGTGTATGGCCGAAGGAAGAACGCATGGTGCAATCCGTTCTTAGAATTTTACTGCGGCAGCAATATCCCGCCACTGCCTGCTGCTATGCTAAAGTAGATGAACAATGGCGCGATGGCCGTTCGTCGCCTTAACCAATCATGTCAATGTTTTTTGCCGATCTAACGCGCTTAAAACTGACAATGGCATAGCCGAAGGAAATGTGCATGGTAAAATCCGAAATCAGAACTTCACTTCGGCCGCAGGATCCCACCATTCCCTGCCGCTGAGCTAACAGGGCCGTAGCCTCTGGGTGGGCACGGGGCCGGGGACTTCACCCATATGATCCCCATCAGAAAGGAAAGAGAAGCGTACTGGATTCACAATCTAAACACTATCCAGCCACACGGACTCAATCTACGGGTAGAGATTCCGGGATGGATAGAAGACATAAATCACCCTCCCATCAGCATGGTATACACGCAAGACTAATTCTCAGCCGACACTCTAGAGTAGCGGGTGGCTCGGTTTACCTTTTTATACATTTTTTACTTAATTCTAAGGATAGATTCGTAACAGAGAAACAAACAATAAGCAATATTCTGACAAAAACAGTTAGAACGATTCTATGATTCTGTGTAGTCAAAGCTTCTGGATATACAACGTTGTTATGAAATTGCGCCAAGTTATTATGAATAGGCCTCTCTGGCTTTGCAAGTCTCGTCTCGCCTTTGGTGACAATACAATTGGTGACATACAAATTGGTGACATCTGTCACGTGTCTCTTTTATCATTGGGATTCGCTTTACATCAAAATAATACATGAAAACTAAACTAAACTAAATACATAGGTCAATAAACTAAACCCGTCAATATAGCGCGGTATCAGTCCAGGGTAATTTTCATCGTAAAATAATGAGTAGATTTCAAAAAGTAAATATTTCTCCAAACGTATGGATATCACTTCATTTTAACCAAATTAGTTGGTCAATTAGGCAGAGTTCTGCACCAGTGAATTCACCATAGATGACATTATCAAAAAGATGAATAGCACCTTATTTTAACAAACTTAATTCTTTATACATATTATACATTATATCACAGACAAATTACAATTTTAAAAATACAAATGAACGAAAATGAACAACTAAAAGTGTGTGTTGTGCTGCTTTGGACACTCAACTCACATCTGAGTGCATAATAAAAATAAAGTATAAATTTGGCATAGTTTAACCATATATATATATATATATATATATATAAAGAAGAGCACATACTCATCTCTCTATAAAAAGTCTACATCGCTTTGCCTATATTATACGACTAGAAGAAGAAGCCCCGTTCCTCGTGACGTTTGCCAAGGCCTGACGTGCCAAATGCACCACATCTGCCCCGCTTACTAGACTACCGTCCCTACGACGCACGGCGCGCACCACACCTACCGCACGTAACGTAAAAATCACACCGGCCACACTCACACTCACACACACATACACACACAACACACACACAACACACACACACCACACACACACACACACACACACATATCACACACAAACACACAAGCACACATTATACACACACACACACACGCACACACAACCTACACACACACCACACACACACACACACACACACAACTTCGCCCACAGACATTATCCATATTTTATTCCATACACACAACGCGCACACCCACCATATTCAGTTTAGTTCCGATACCCCACACACACACGCGCGCGCGCACACGCAAACACACACGCACACGCACACGCACACGCACACGCACACGCACACGCACACGCACACGCACACGCACACGCACACGCACATAAGAACATTGTTTAGAAAAGTATAGACAGCGACAGCGTTGTCGGTATCACATTATTCCGGCCAGAGGCGATTTTCACTCGATTTCTAAACTATAGGAATCCGAATGTGATGCTGCACGCGATGGCTTGTGATCGTATAGTTAGTTATTCGTATGCCTTGCGTTGTGTTCCCAGGTTCAGCGTGCAGGCAATCAATGCTCTCTTCCGCGGGTTGCGTGGGAGATGTGAGTGTCTTATGCGAGTGGGCAAACAATTGATACGCACAGGGAGTTACGGTGAACGGTCTATGGTTTTATTCTAGTAGATATACACATTCACTACACAGGCTAGATGATTCTCAACAGCAGACGAAGACACGACTTTTCCCTAGGGGCGCGACACGGAGAGTGTCTTTTTTCCGGCACTTAATTCTTCTCTGAAAACGCACATTTCGTCGTCACATATGGTAATGCGCGGGTGCCCTCTGGTTTAGCGGCCAAGTATGGGTGTCTATGGGAGAGGGAAGTTGAGCCGGCCATGTGTCCGGATAGTTGTTAGCCATTGGCCGCGTCCTACTACTCAGTTACAAAACCAAGGCTTCTACGTTGTTACAAAACTAAGGCGTCTACGCAGTTACGATGGCGCGTGTTGGGCGCGTGATCTTTGCGTACCGCTACGTAATCCGCTATCTTGAACGCGGTGATGTCACCGGCTTATAAAATATCTCCGAGCTTACGCGCTGAAATGACGTAGCAGCCCTGCTACAAATGCTGCGCTTATCGACAGAAGCAACGCAAGCAATGTCCCTGCAATACCGGTAAACAATGCATTATTACTCTTTTCGCAGATGCAGCTATGCGGATTCAGGGATGAGGATGCTGAGAGGAAGACGCAGGGATAGGAATGCTGAGCGGCCGTTATTAGCTAGGGCGGGTTAGCTTGGCGTAGTCGTGAATAGATTGGCGCGCCGCGTTGGCCACTACGTAGTTTGGCATTTAGCATGCGAAACCCTGCTTCATAAATCTGTCTCTCTTGGGGTTTGTATTGTTAGAGATTTAATGCGATTTCTTAGCTGATATACAAAAAGGAACTATCTGCAAGCACCCACCTTTTAGCCCACAGGGGAGGTGCAGCACATGACAGGCGCGCGCATGCAGATATATGCACGCATGTACGGACGCACACACACACGCGCGCGCGCACACACACACACACACAGACACACACTCGCCGATGCCAGCTGATCAGAATCGCATGAGCGTGCGTCCGTCTGTGCGTCAGTCAACAGTTTGGCACAAATCTAAACGGCTCGACGTACGGATTCGAAGGTCGGGACGTGGGGGCATAATCCGAAAACGAGTTGGGATATCGAAGCTGGGGGTCAAAGATCAAAGGTCAAGAGGTGTAAAAGAAGGTGGAACATTCCCTCCTTAACCTAAGGTATAGGGAGGAAATGCAGAATTGCGGCACAAATCTAAACGGCTCAACTGAGGCTCGGGATAGTCGGTGTATAGCATCATGGTACGAAAAGCCATCACTGTGCTGAAATTGGAGGACACAGGTCAAAGGTCAATGGGGCACAGGGCAGATTTTAGACATTTTCTGAGGACATGGTCTGACGGAGCGATTGAAAAACTTTTTTGTTTCAGCGGTGACCTACCATTTTTATCACTTTATTGAAAGGGCCATGAAATGTGCTTTCCACTGACGTGCGAAGAGTAAGTGTCTGATAACCTTTTGACCTTCAACAGGAGGGTTAAACATGGATTTGTTGACTGTCAACAAAGGACTGAACTGCTTTTGTTATTAGAGTCCCCCCCCCCACCACCACCACTATCAACACTATGCTCGCGCTCGACGCATATCCATGATACCATGTTAATATAGCGAAGTCATTAAAGTTACACAGCTGTATCTTTATTACTGCTACTACTAGTAGGTATAGCAAAGCCTATCATAGATTTTAGATCTGTATTAGTAGTATTCTAGATATATGCTCTGAGCGCGAACGCGGTGGTGGGGGGGGGGTCGCACTTGATTCGGTTGCCAGTGAGTTTATCAAAAGAATACCTGGCTACAATACACGTCAGTTGAGCGCTGTCGCTCTGCGGCACTTGTTGTTATTGTCGCGTTTTAGTAACCCATTTGTTTAACGCAAACTTGGTTCTTCACACATAGGCATAGGTTATGTCAATCAATCTCTACAACGATGGTTAATTTCCCGTAATGTAGGTGACACAATAATCTATCTATCCATCTTTCAACTGCGCGCTCTAAGAGAGAAGAGATATGGTGAGCGCAGAACAGGGTACTAGGTAACGAATGAGAGGCGAGCAGAAGAGAAGGAAAGAATCTGGGAG